GATAGATGATAGATGATGATAGATAGATGATAGATGATAGATAGATAGATACATGATAGATAGATAGATAGATGATAGATAGATGATAGATAGATAGATGATAGATAGAGATAGATGATATATAGATAATTTCAAAAGCTGGAAGAAATTTTCCAGGAGATTATTTAGAGTAGCACAAAATGTTCTCGACATAAATGTGGTCAACTTTGTCAAGATAAATTTTTAAATGTATTTTTCTTGGTGTGCTTGAACTATAGATTCTTAAAACAATGCAAATTGTATGGCATCTCTTTGGGAGACACTAGGGCACTGCTAATTCTGCAAAGCATGAAGACCAAAATGAATATAAGCGCATCCAGATGGTACTTCACATCCCAAAGCAAATTTGTGCGCAAGTTTTCCTTGAAGACTAAATAAGTTTCCAATTTGCCATTGCCTTTGATAGGTTATAACTGAGGATTCAAAATGAGGCTCTGGTACCCTGGCCTGGTGGCTCATTGGTTGGAGCATCATCCCATACACCAAAAAAAAAGGTTCTGGGTTCAATTCTCGGTCAGGTCACATACCCAGGTTCAGTGACAGATCCCCAGTCAGGGTGTGCACGGGAGGCAACTTATTGATGTTTCAAACCAATAAACATATCCTCGGGTGAGGATTAAAAAAATGAGGCTCTAGTGATGTAAAAAATTAACAGATTAGTGTCACATTTGACAGCAGCTCAGAAACATCCCAGAAGGCACAAAGCCTGGTGATTTTAAGGCACGGTGCTCTCTTCACATTGATAAAGGTGTAGGAGACTAAGAAAACAAGAGTGCCTCACTGCCAAATTTTTAAATTTTGTTATTTTTCATTGAAACAATTCAGCATGCAGATATGATTTCAAAATATTACAAAGATTCATATATGTAACTGGCTGAATGTGACCTAATTATTATTTTATCCATAATAAATTTACAAATGAGATCCTTACCCCTAAATATAATAAGATTCCATAGAACATAAATCTCCAGAAAAAGCATCTCCGAAGGGCATTAATGAGTTTGGGATTTTTCTTTGATGCCAGCTCTCTGTCCCATTCTCTGCAAAGGAATAAAAGGTAGGACAAATAAGATGATTGAACAAATATTTGAGTTTTTTTCTTTTCCTTAACATAGTTTTGCTCACACAAGTACATCCAAGAAGATTAACCAAGTGACTAAAGAGATGAAAATTTGTGGAGACCTTCCAACACCAACGCTCAGTCAGCTATTTGGCAGAATTCAATGCTCCACCATATATCAATTTTCAGGGAGTTGACCTCATGAAAAGGCAACATTTATTCATTAAGGAAAGGTTCTGGGCTCCTCAAAAGCAACACAAAATGTAGACAAGTAAAGTATGACTTATAAATAAGCATTGCTATGCTTGGGACAAAGTAAAAAAAATGAACAAATATTTTATTTTTCCCCATTCATCTCTTGATTTTCACCTGTTTAGAATTATAGTAGATTTTACACAATTTAACCATCAAATCAAAAACAAGATTAAAATGTCAGATGGATTTTTTTGTGGCTTAACATTACAAATACTTGGTAGACTTTGTTTTTAAATGTAAGGGTATGAAACAAATATCATCAGACTTAATTTTCAACTACTAAAGTCATTTCAAAGTAAGACTTTGGAAGATTAGAACAGAATAAAATTCTATATTTTCTAGTAGGAATATAAATTAAGTAGTCTGAAATTTTTGAAATTTAAATGTTTTGCTTTCTTTTAACTATTATAGGTTCATCAGCTGACTATTTTTAGTTACTGCCACTACTTTCTAGCCTCTTCCCAAAAGGGTAAACTATATATCTCTAAATGTTACCTTCATCTTCATTTTTAAACTGTACAGAGATGAAAAGTTTCATGAACCACAGGCAAGAACTAGATAAATAACTAGATAAAAGCTTTGCATTACAGCAACAGCTATTCTTGTAACTATCAACCTACTAGTATTACAGGTAGTTACTCCAAAGAAGAACACACAACTGAGATTTGAAAGCAAGCTTGGTAATCTCTGTGCATGGATAATGGCTACTATCTGTAATGACTAATTACCTTATCCTCTCTCTCTACCTCCACACCCTTTTCCCCACTCTTTCACTCACACACGTGGGGCTTGCCTCCCATCCATGTCATTCAGTGGCTCACAATAAGGTAAATATGGAGGCAGACACAGCTTCTCCTTCAAAGGAAGAATCAGATGAAAAAGCTAACTAAACAGTTTCAAGGTGGGAAGAAATATTCAACACTGAAGTCGTGTAGAAAGATGTCATTTATTTCACAATTAAGGGGCCTCTCTCTGGTGACCTTGATCAGTGTGGTTTTAGGAACATGGTACACATGGAAACCATACTTTAGGGAGCTGAGTTGTAAACAAAAGGTGAACAAGTGAAAAGACAGGAGAGCAGAGAAGTATTAGCTGTGAAAGAAAAAAAAAGAATATGGGTAGCGACCTGAGGGAAAGGCAAAGCTGGGGAACTTTTTTTTAATGGGAGGATTTGAACTATTTGTAGTCTAAGAGAAGTTAGCAGAGATGTAGAAATTGGTCCTTTGTCTTGAAAATGTGAATTTTCTAATCCCACTAGCCTAATTCTTCAATTAAAATTTAAAAAGTAAGGTTTAATATCTTACTTTGCCTTAAAAATGTCAAAAAGAATTAGATGGCTTTAATGAAAATAAAGTAAACAAACTGCAAGTCTATTCAACTTTATTTTGGTGCAATAATTTAGTAGCTAATTTTCATTTTTATTATTTTTCTGTCTTTATTTATTTTTTGCTAATTCTCTCTCCCTTCTCCCTTTCATTTTGTATCAGACCCTGTGCTGCTGGCACAAGACCCTATCTAAACTCATCCATAGACTGTGGTTGGTCCAAGGAGTGAGCCTGTGACTCCAGAGTCTCTGGAGTTTTTTACATGTGGCCAAGGAAAAAGAGCTCTGTTCTCTGTGATTTGTAAAGATATTAGCAAGGAGTTCTGAGGATCCACTGCATGGAGGAAGCTTGTCTGAGAACATAAAACCAACACAAGGCATATGCACCAGGTGATATTTGAGTCTTTGGTTCCTTTGAGTCCCTAAGGTTAGTTCTCTACCTAGGCCTTCATACAGTTAGACTATATGAGCCAATAAATTCCTTCTTTTTATTTACTTAAGCTGGGTTCTTTCACTGGCAATCAAAGGATTCTAACCCGTACTCTTAGAAAAAGGGACTTCTTGTAATGGGAAACACTGTTCCTGGGGAGGCCAGGATTGTAGACCTTGGGCTAGAACCCTGGCTTCATCAATCATTAACTGGCAAATTACATCAACTCTATGAGCCTCAGTTTACTCTTCTGTGAGATGGAGATAATAATGCTTTCCTCCCAAGGTGGCTGAGAAGAGACACCATACCTGTCAGTATGTACTCAAAATTATGAAATTTTTATGTTTCTTTGCTATCCAATAGCTATTACCTTAAGATTTCATTTATACTCAAATATTATGATTTTGGAGGTAAATATACATAATTTCCTTCATAATAGATGTTATTTTAGTCTTCACAAAATCCATCTAATGTTCTTTAAAGATAGATAACTTCTCAGATTTTAAATATGTATTTTTCAGGAAAAAAAAGGCATTTCTTTCATCCTTTCACTGTTTAATTCCTAATTGATCAAGACTTCAGTAAGAAAATAAGATGCTCCTATTTTAAATATGCTATTTTACAAATTAAGACCTCTAATATGTCAGTTCCCTAAGTAATTAATAATGTTACTTTCTCCAACTAATAAACAATGTACATGAACATACCTTTCTAATGTTTCAGAGAGATTGTCAGCAGAATCAGCTGAAGGGATTTGGTATATGTCTGACAACTCCAGGCGCTGTCTGTACCCTTTCTTCAAAATTGGTGTAGTCCAGCTAAAATAAAGAGAAGGACAGATTGAAATATTTATGTGATTTTGTCTCTAATATAGACTTGGAATCTGATATCATTTCAAATCTTCTGGCACATGGAGAAAGGTGGAGACATACTGTAAATATGAATAATATAAGTCAACCTATATATAAACACCAGGGATGCTTCATGTCTTATAGGACACATCTGTATAAAACACCAGCACCTATGAAATAATGTGACTGTAGATGGTAGAATTCTTCCTAGAGGGAAAAACAAACTGCTAAACATTCTGTATTAGAAGTGTTCTTCAAAGCACAGCCCCCAAATAACCAGATAGAGTTTATAAAGCTTGCTATAATTGCTAAAGTCAGTCTCTACTATTTCAAATATAAAATGACCTGTGAATAAGAAGGTAAACTCTCAATCAACACCCTTACATGATTTTGTTACCATAGCACATGATACTCAGCAATGAGCTATTTGTTTAAGGAACTGTCTATATACAGCTGGAGGGTTAATGAGTAGTTTGTATCAGTTTGTTTACTTAATTATCATGTCTGAATTATTACTTGAGGATGGAGATCATAATTTTCTTATATTTTTTCTTCTCAGTCTACATCATAAATAACAACTTATGACAAACTAGTGAAGCTTACCAGTATGGTAAATAAATAGGCGGGATACCCCAGTTATTTTCAAGTACATTGTTTCTAACTATTATGGACAAGGCAGAATAATCTTCACAGAGATAAGAAAATATAAAACGAAGAAGGAAAAGGAAAATGAGGGAAGGGAGGAGAAGAATTATGAAACAAATAATGTACAGAGAGAAGTTTCTAAATGAAATTTGAGCATTAAGATCTTTCTTGAGTGAAATTTCATTTACTGAAGGAATTGAACTTACAAGTAGTGATCCCCAAACATAGCTCTTTCCCTTAGCATCTTTTCCTTTCTTCAGAGATGTCTAAAATTTTGTGACACTGAGACTTTGGTAATTTATCAAAATTCATGTTAGCCCCCAAAATCAAGAGTCCAGTTTCTTATTTACACTTCCTTAGTCTCCAGCTTTTTCAGTTGGCCCCTGCCCTATTCCTGATGTTTCTACAACTTGTCCTTCCTTAAAAGGAACTGAATTAGGGCCCAATTTGAAGGCTAAGTAATTTCATCAACCCTTTCTTGTCAAGATACCAATGAGTGACAATGGTTTAATGTGTCGGTTTTTTTCCATTAACTTGCAATATTTGCATCTTAACAAGAGCATTAGCAAAAAGGATGATAATTAGGTTTTGTCTTTATTGCCCAGTCTGGTCTATTGCTAATTTTTCCTAGAGAACAACAATGAAAATAATTGGGAACTGTCTGGATACAGCAATTAAAGAAATACCATGATAATGCAGTATCTGCAGTGGGCATCATATAGAAAGTGATGTCACACCCACCTGGTGCCATTCAGTATCAAACATAAGCATTGGAAGTAACCTTGGAATATAGGTGGCAGTTAGGCTGTGAAAAATTGAGGATAGCAATTTAGGATACAAACTCTATCTTGTTGGTTATAAGCCTTTGTAAACTTAAGCCAAAAAGTGAAAAAGTGAAGCAAGTGTTTACTACTATATGTGTGTGTATATGTATGTGTGTGTGTATACATACATATACACATAGTGTATATATACACACCATATATAAATGTGTGTGTATATATATGTATGTATGTATATGGAGTATATATAGCACTTTCCAAGGAGCTTTCACGAACATTAGCATATTGTGATTTTAATTTTAAAATCTTGTTAGGTAGAACAAGAAGGGAATAATGTTCCTAATTTAAGGATAAAATGATGGAGGCTCAGAGATGCTAAACTTGTCCATTACTAAAGGCAAAAAGTATAAACTTTTACCACAGTCTTCTGACTTCAGTTCTTCCTTTACCATGCTCAGCTTTCCCTATTTAGGAAAATTAAGTATGGTGAGTTGTACAAGACAAACAGCTGGGAGGAGAGCCTAGAAGCAGGGAGATCAAAAGCTGGCAGACTGCAGGCAATGGTGTTGTGTGCTGGCAAATCTTTAACCATCCCTTCTCCAAGATAAACAAAAAGCAAAGGAAAAAAAGTGACATGTCATTTGCCAATTTCTCTGGTGTAAATAAATACTCCCACTATGACCAATTACAAGCCACCAAATGTGCAGTCATTAAACACATAGCTGGGAAGAGATATATGTTGCATATCATAATATAGAATGTTTACCATTCACATACAATGAGCATAAATAACCTTAATGGCATAGAAAATAGTAAGATGTAAAATAATTACGTAGTGATAACTTTTGAGTTTTTATTACCTTTTTTTTAATATAATTTATTTAACTGTAAATTTAAATATATCTTTATTGATTTCAGTGAGAGGAAGGGAGAGGGAGAGGGAGAGAGAGATAGAAACATCAATAATGAGAGAATCATTGATCAGCTGCTTCCTGCACGCCCCCGACTGGGGATTAAGGCCGCAAGCTGGGCATGTGCCCTGGCCGGGAATCGAACTGCGATATCCTGGATCCTAGGTCGATGCTCAACCGCTGAGCCATGCCCAACAGGGCTAACTGTAAATTTAGATCATTTAATTTTTAATACTGATTGTGCTTAACAACCAGCTTACAAATTTCCTAAAAATGTAACAATAAGAAATGGCCAACTACAGCAGATTACTGCTGCAAATGGTTGAAAGACTCGGAACAGGCATTGAGGACAGAAAGAAAAGGTCTTATAGAAGATTTAGTAAAAGGGAAAATATATTCCGTCTCTTAATAAACCTTGCATTTCACTGTTTGAAATTATTAAAATTTTACACTAAAATTACAAATAAATAGAATTTCACTATTAATAAATACAACACTCAAAGACATTTTCAGGAAATTTAAAAATAAACTTTTCAACTCTTTTAAAAAATACATAAACATACATCTTTGGTCCATATCTAAGACCTGACAACTATTCCAATAAGTGAGTTTCCATTTCATTTTAGAGTAACACAATTTGTGGGCCGCCTTCATTCAAACAAACTTCCTGTGTTATCTGTGCCCATTTTAATATGTATGCTATACTATGATGTCTAGTTTTGATTATCAAAAGTTCCATATCCCAGCATCATCAAACCAAACATATTCAGTAGTAATTAAAACTCAAGTTAGCCATTTATAATCATTAATATAATTTAATATTTCATGATAGGTTCACTACAGTAAACCTATATTTGTATTCTGAAATAGAAACCTGACTTAACTTAAATTATGAGAACTGAAATAAATTAACTTTGGCAATTACCAGAGTTATCTTAGCAAAATAATTTATTCTTTGAGGTTAAACCAGTAAAACTGAATGAAATTTCTGCAGCCTAAAGAAGTTTTCCATGCCTACTTCAAGCCAGTATTAGAAACACAAAAATTCTCAGATATCTACAATTAGATACTTTATGAAATATGAGTTACTATAAAACTCCAGCTACCGCTTCTTTTGAATAACCCTGAGTAGGTTAAACATACTTGGATAGAATTTAGGAATGTCCTGTCAGGATTTCTGCTTCAGTATTTCTTCAATTAGAAATTAATGCATGCCCTGGCAGGGTAGCTCAGTTGATTGGAGCATCATCCCGATATGCCAAGGTTTGGGTTCAGTCCCCAGTCAGGTCATGTACAAGAATCAACCAATGAATGCATATGTAAATGGAACAGCAAATTGATGTTTCTATCTCTCCCTCCCTCTTTCTATTTTTCTTTTTCTAAAAATCAATTTAAAAATGAAAATAAATAAAAAATTTAAGAAAAAAAAGAAATGATTGTGTGTCCAAGTGTTTCATGAAGCAAAGCAAGTGCACCTGTAAAAACCAAAAGCAATAAACCCTATTCCTCCTCCTCTTCAAATTTGCTTCCACCATCTCTCCTTCTAGCTTTGGATAGATCTTTTCATTCTCCTTCATTCATAAGCAGTCATTATATATTGATAATAAAATTATATACTGGTCTACTTTAAAACTGTCAATTTCCAAAGCTCTGGCCATTTCTAACAGAAACTAGCTAATCATTGATTAAGAGGCAGTAGGCAGCCAGCCGGGTGTGGCTCAGCGGTTGAGAAAAGACCGAGGATCCAGGAGATTCGATTCCTGGTCAGGGCACATGCCCGGGTTGCGGGCTTGGGGAAAAAAAAGGCTAATACCCCAGATACAGTATTCTGTTTACTTAACAATGAGAACCTTCAGGTTTTATTGAGGAAAAATGCAGTCACTTCATTTTTAAAATACC